CTTAATTCTGCAGACCTGTAACCAGAAACAAGCATAGAGTAGGCTTCCCTGACCAACTGTTTTGCATAGTTACAAAATAAATTTTTCTGAAAACTAGCAGAGGGGCAATAGGCATGGCCAAATTGTGTTAAAAAGTTACTTTAAGAACAACAGAATAATGAAAATAATGAATCATCAAGATACCATCTGACTTTCAGCAATTATGTTATACTTCTAACAGAAATGCTTTACATATTTTTCATTGTCATTCTGAAACATTATTTCAATAATGTAATTAATTAAATTTTATTTCCAAAACAATATTCTGTTCCTATTAAGTAATATTTACTTGGGGTAAAAGTTGTTGTATGCTAAAAAAATGCATTTTACATTATTATTATTTTTAAATGTAGACAGGCCCACTAATCTGAATATCCCCTGTATGCAATATTTTTCAAACATAAACATAGAAAATAAAGTGAAGATTTTCTGAGACACCTGTATTGATCTTGGTTTTCTTGCGTGTCACGAGAGGTATGCGTAAAGAACTCATATGTTTTCTTTGGTTTATGAATTAACTTGGGATGAAGTAACATTTTGGTTTTAGCCATTAGCACATGAATTGGAACTCCTGATGATGAATTTCATACCAAGTTTACTCTACAGAAGTCTGAAGTACTTTGAAGTAAAAACAGATTCTAGTGAAAGATACACAAGACATTGACATCTGATTTTCTGATCAGGCAAGATATAGGTAATTGTATTACAAACTTCTCAGCTTCTACTAATATATCTCAACTATGATGTAAAGGAATGACTACCTTATAATTTTTCAGTTCTTCTATTAAGATTGCAGGAGAAGTTGCTAGTCCCAATACAGACAGCTAAGGACTGGGAAATAGATTAGCCAAAAATGAACCTAACATTGCCCTCAATTGCTTCTTCTTTTAAGGCCTCAAAGCAGCAAAGTGACACAGAAGAACTGCCACACGTGTCAGTGTGGCAATCAGGCAACAGGTGCCTTACAGAAAAGCGCAGGCAGCTTTCTTCAACACTACTGGAATCCCAGCATCCTCAGTACTCTCTTTCCTTCAACCTCTTGTTTGCTTCAGGTGAGTGACTACAAGCCATTTCCATTTGAAGCCATTTTTGTGAACAAAATTGAGTTCATAGAAGTGGCTTTACATACTTCACACTCTGAACTGGACTACAGTCAATTTCAAACTAGACTGTAGACACTCAGAAATTGTCTATAGTTGCATTTCTGCACCTGCTGGATGTCAGATGTTTTTGCCAACTTTTGACATTTCAGGGCAACAAACAGCACAAGGGCAGCAGCAGCAACAACCCTTTGGTTTGCTCTATCACATGCTTCTAAACTACTGTTGACACATTCAATACTTGTAGTACTAATTTTGCCTTGTCTACAACGTTGGTTAATTAATAAATTGTCTGAAGCTAAAGGTACAAATGTAGCCATGTTTCCATATCACATGGTTACACCACAAACACTAAACATAAGCAATAGAAACATCAAAACCAGATTTTGCAATAAGCAGGCTTAAAGGCCTTAACACTGCTCTCTGAAATGATAATACCACTTTAGTCTTGCCCACGTAGTAAGATTTAAAACACATTTTCTCTTCTAGAGCAGAACTATTTCCACTACAGATTTTTTTTTTTAAAGTTTGTTTACAACAAAAAGTCTAAAATATGAAATGGAAAACAATCACTAATGAAACCGGTTCATAACTGAAAAGCTGGTCTTGAGTCCAAAGACTAAGATAGTGCCTTTTTGGATCTGAGAAGGGTAAATCCAAAATTGTAATCCTCAAGCTCTCTGCTTTTAGGCTAATATGAGAAACAACTGATGTCAAAAGCATGACAGCTCAATACTCTGTTCATGCAGATGCCTAAAAGTAATGTGGTTTTGACAGTACTCTGATTACTTTTAAGCCTACATCAAGATCTACATGATTTTTTTCAGACCTTGCTTGTGACTAATCTGTAGGTGTTCCTTCCCATAAGCATACCAGCTGGATTGGGTTCTATACAAAACATTGATAGTCCATGTCTTTTGGGGGGGGATTTATTTTTTTTTAATGAAGAATCTCTTCCTGCAACTGCATTATGTACAGGTATTTTTATGTTCAATAAGTCAGTGGTTAGATCAGTCACTCAGGAGACAGGCAGTCTGCACTGAAGATTTTCTTCCCAAACTAAGCACATCTGCAATGACAGCAGAATCCTGTATGAGGGCCATTCTTCTTTCCCCTGCCTTAGGCTGAAGACAACAGAGAAAGCACCTCTGTTGTCCACAGTGAAACAATCTACTATGACCTTCTGTAATCACCTGACATCAGGTAGGAAAAGGAATACTCTTGCAAAAAGGGTTTTCATTGTTCGTGCCCAGTGAACTTCTGAAGAACAACAGAAATGTCTCTTGGCTCTGAAGATTTCTGAGAGGGCAATGCAGAGTTACTACGTGCAACTCAATACTTGTTGAATCCATACTACTCGGTAGGGACAGAAAGACAAAAGACCGATGTTGCATGAAGTTCAGTGTTTTCAGAGAACTTAGTTCATATATATCTCAGTGTGGTGGAACTGGGAAGCAGTGCTTCCCAGGCAACTACTGAAAATGCCTGGCCAGGACACTATTTTTTTTTTCTGTGCCTTGGTGACTGGTATTTAAGGGATCACCTTCACAAAAATATTAAATCATCAACAGGTGATTGAAAACCTCTGAGAGTTGTGAACAGGATCTCTAACAAGTTACTTTAAAGAGGTTCATTTCTGCCTTGAAGATCTGTTACCATTTTGGTGCTTCACTGTGTCGCTTTGCTGAGATAATCTGACTTCAAAAACGACATTACATTTTAACAAGAACTTCTTTCATTTCCCCTTATACAGCAGATCTTAAAAAATTGGCACTTAAAGCTGCAGTTTCCAAAGAGCGCTGAAGTGTCAGGCTGCGGGACTGATAAGCAGACTTCTCTAGGGCTGCTCTTGAATTGCTCACATGGTGATCACAGTAATGATCACGCAGTTCCGACCCAAAATGGAAAGCAAGATTTCTTCCCCCACCCCACTATTTTAAACTCGTCAAGGTGAAAGGTGGAGAAGTGGGGACAGAGAAAAATGAGGGGCACTTAAGGGAAGGAACAGAGCAGCAAATGCTCTGGATCTAAGCACAGGAAAATTGCTTTGATGCAGGAACTGATACTCGTAAATTCTCCTCTGCCAATTTTGGATTCAGGAGTATGTCAGAAATGGGGGTGGAGAGGTGAAGGAAAAGGGAAATGCAGACATACAGTTTCTGCTGCTGCCTGAACTCTTGGGGAGCATTCAGGCCCAGAAACAGCTAGTGACAAGCTATGGCATCTGAGGTTTCTGCAGATACTTTGCTGTTCTGGAGAGTCAGATAATGTCTTTTTAGATGTCTAAGTATAGATTATAGAGCTTAACTTTTGTGAGTCATGTTTGGCTTTTATTGACTTGGAAGAGTTTTCAAACAGAAAAAGCTGGCAGATCACTACCAAACTTGTGTCTCCTACTATAGGAAGATGGGAAAATGGAGAAATAAAGTAAAAAATTAACTGTATTTAAGGTATCTGTCTTAATCTATTAGTGTCTTTGTTTTGTTAATCAGAGCCTACTGACTTAGTAAGTTTTCCTTATTGCTGCATAAAAGGTGGAATTTATAGACACAGCATATTAGCAAAGTCTGAGATTCTGGGAACAAAATAAAACCAGCAAAATGTGACATGCCATTTCAAAATCCTAGCTGAGCAAGAAGAAAGTACTTGCCTCTCAATGGAACAGAGAAGTGAATAAGACTGCAGGAACATAGGAGACTGCATTTCAGTGAATCCCTTGATTTTTGCGTTACATTCATGTCCATCAACAATTAACTACTGCCAACACATACCTATGTCAGATTGATGGTGAAACATCTTGCAAGAGTAAAACCAAGTGTTTTTAGGGAAATAAACCTGATTATTTTACTTAAAGTATTAACTTACTCCTCTATTATTTATTAAATAGAAAATTTAATATCTCATTACACTGTTGTAAAGAAAGGCTGGTGGCATAAAAGCAGGCAGTTAGCTACTCATAGAAGACAAATTTCCATTGCAGACGTAAGCCACAATGTCTTTACAGTATCAGAGAAAAGTGTGTGGCCTGTTATACTGATTTCTGAAAGAAACCTTTGAAACCATCTGCTTAAGAACAGGCCTGGTAGATACTACTCAGCTGAGAGCGTATGAGTTTGGCAACCTGAGGAAAGAAAATATCCACTGAGGACATGTAGGAAAAAGTGTTACTAGTGTCATCATTTTATGGCAACGGCAGACTTCAGTTATATTTAATTGAATCCTCTCTCCACACCAACAAAATTATTAAGAAAATGGCACAGATATTTGCATTTATAAATACAGACTCTGCAATGCCAGCTTCACATTTTTTATTGTGCAACTACAAAGCTAATGCTTGCCTTCCTTTGAAATCAAAAGGTAAGTTTTTAGTACAGTGCTTTGGCCACACCATTTCCACAAATCAATCCAAACCCATTTCAAATGCATCCTGTTAAGTGCTTTTATGGAAGACAGAGGGGAACTAAAGCAAAAGGAAAGCGTCTTTTCTTCCCTACTCATAAAAAATAAAAGGTACCAGACTGAAGGCAGAAAAACTTGGAGCCATCTTCATCAATTCACATTTCTCCTCCTGCTTGTCTAGTTTCTTCTTATCAAAATACTTACAGCTCTATTTCATGATAAAATTTGCATGCAACAGACACTCAAAAATCTATAACAGAACCTATTAAAATGGAGGTAGAAGTTTTGTATTTTACATCCTTACACTGTAAGCGCAGGTGCTTCCAATGACTTATGTTTGGCATAACCCTGTAGGAACAGCTCATGAGTAAGTCCAACATACCTGCACAGTTTCAGAGCAGTTTTGTGTAGCGTGCATATCCAGAAAATTAGTATTTTTATGATAAAGGTCTACATACTAACCTGCCAAGGCCGATCCCAATCAAGAGGAATAGGAAATGCTCCAAACCAAGCTCCAAGGATACTGCACATGGTAGTAATCTGTAGACTGCTTTCCCAGATGGACATAGCTCTGTAAAAACAGTGTGTTACAGGATTTCAACAAGAGCAGAAGTTACCTTGTCAGAACGTTAGATCTGATTTCTCACAAGATTTTTGGGACTACAAACAGATATAAACGTCCACATATTTGATACATGGCACTCAGGTTTCTCCTAAAAGATACAAACTATACATAAGTTGCATATTTTAGCTACAATCACAATCATTCTATACCACACATTCAGGAGATTTTTGTCCCCCTTGAGATGTTTACTGCAAAAGCTAATTTATTTTACCTGGAAATACTCCTGTTGAGCGTGAAACACTGCTTGACTGAACAAATTAAAATATCACAATGATACAATGATAAAATATCACAATGGAGCTGGATGATCTTTAAGGTCCCTTCCAACCCAAACCATTCTATGATTCTACACTGTGTGCAGTGCAGGGAGAAGCAGACACGAAAGGGTAGCATGGGATTGTACAGATGAGCACAAGAACAGTCACAAAGTCCTCTATGGTGTAGACACGTTATTCTTTGATGACTATGACAACTTGAAATTTAAAATAGAAGTCCACTACGTGAATATTCCAATGCAATTTTCCATCAACTGAAAAGAAACATTGCAAATAAATGGAACATGCATATTGCAGCCCTTCACCAACATTGCATCAAAATTTAAGTTGGACTGACCCAGTTGTACCACAGCTATTATGATGCAATAGATTACATACAAGTTACTTGAATGCAACTTTATGAATAGTCCTCTGACAAGACATTACGTGCATCAGTATTTTCACACTAGACCACCTAAAACATAGCAGAAAGCTATCCAGAGCAATAGCTAGGTAATTAATATCTGTTACTTATTTACACTTGATATGTCAAGATAAACTTTCTTTTTCTAGGTGTCTTTTTCTCTCTTTCTGCAAAGACAATAGCACAAGCACATTTTCAACTTATAAAAATTGCACAGGCAAATAACAGTAACAAGAATAAGTGTCAGTGGTTACTTCAGTCTAAATTGTATTCAGATACTTTTAAAAACACATTCCTTTTTCATACTAAGCTACATGCTTAATCAGACTTTCCAGCTTGCTGTTCCAGTGCAACTCTTCTCTCAAGGCAAACAGCTCTGTTGATCTTGCCTAACCATCTTTTTCCTCCATTCAACCAGTCCCACCTCATTCCACATGGTTAAGCTAGAGACAACCTTTTAATACCTCATGTCTGCACCCAGCTCCTACCTAAACACAAGATGTTCCAACTCATTCATGAGGTCAAATGAAAAAACACAGGATTACTTTTAAAAGAGCAGTTTGCTACATTCCATAAAAATTTTGCTACAATATTTCTTTGTAGTCTATTTTAATTCAAAGGCAAGTTTAAATAAATATCATCACTGAATAGACATTTTATTCAGATAACGTCACATGGCTCACTAGTAAGAAGTATGTACAAGTCGTCATACCAAAAACATCAGAACAAGACAACTCTCTGTTTCCTACGCAATAATTATGCTGAAATAACACTAAAATCTAGACTAGAAAAGAAAGAAATTGACAGGCATTCAAAATCTAACCTGGCACAAAGACAGACTGTTGTAAAACATCTTACTTCAATTCAACTATTATTTCCAGCTGCAAAACCTCCAAAAATGACTAAGTGAATCAGCAATGATTTGTTTTGGCTAAACAACTCCATGCTTTTATTGAAGGGTATTCAATCTTTCCACTGAAAATAAAAAACAAGCATAACTGACTTGAATAAGGATTCAAATCAGTTATGGATTCAAGATATTTTTTAGTAAGCTGAGAACTGAGAATAACTGACTTGAATAAGGATTCAAATCAGTTACAGATTCAAGGATTCAAGATATTTTTTAGTAAGCGGAGAACTGAGATAAACCAAAAGTCAATATCTGAAACTGCTATAAAAATTCTACTTTTGTGCTCCTCTACAGAAGTTTAAACCAGAAATGACTCCATAGATCGGCAGCGTTATACAACTTTCACTTTCTTTTGAGATGAGACTTCACCCTTATGAACTATTAAAAGAGAGTGAATGCCAACATCTTCTTATTAAATCTCAAGCATATGTGGGGCTTCTTTATGTTTCAGCACCCCAGTCTTTCAACAGTCCTGTTATTTAGCGAGTGAATAAAGGCAGAAGAGAGAAAGTACTTCTGAAAAATACATTATCCTTGATACATGCTAATGTCATGGCTGTCACTGAGGTGAAAATGAAGTTAAAAGGCTCATTTTACCTTAAAGGTACTCTTGAAAAAAATTAACGCTTGAAAACTCTGACACTGAAAACAGCTTTCTTCGAAATTTGAAAAAGAGCCTGGGTAAAGATGACATACTTAAGCCTACAGTAAATCATGGATCATTTTCACCATTATATTCAAGTTAAAAATACTGCTAGAGCAGTGTTTGTTTTGGCTTGTTATTCCTACTTTAAAAGCTGTATTTATGAAGCTACTACCGGATCATGTGCAAGATTCTCCCTGTACAGATTAGTCTCAGGTCTCCTCTTTATTTGACAACCACCATACTGGACTGCACAATGGTTTTATACCAGTAAAATGTACGTTTGAAACTTTACTTCCCTCAAACACATATAAAGTGAGATTTAGTGTCTGGACACCAAAAATAAAAATCCAGTTTTCTGAATCAATGCCTTCAAAATAAATAATCATTTTCTTTGTCAGAAAAGCTTTTATAAGGCTGTAATTACAAATACAAAAAACACCCATAATTCACTAAGTTTTCCTTTCTTTACAAAAAATTCCATGATATATTGTTTACATCAATTCTGTTCATTCTTACTCTGGGCAAAATCAGAAACTTTAGAATAGAACTTACCCATTTTTACTAAATACCCGTATCCATGCTTGTAAGTTTGGTCCCAGCATACACAAGCATTGTAAGGTAGTAAAGGTAGACAGGAGAACTGCAAACAAGAATGTCTCAGTCACTGACCTACAAAGAAGGGGTATTACAAAATTAAGTGAGGTAGTTACTAACTTTCTAAGAGTTCAAGATTTAGAGAAAAAACCCAACCCCTAAGTCAAACTGTGAAAGTGTGAATGCTTTCTTACACCTCATGCAGAAGAATAAAGTATTTTCTTCTTACTCTGTAGAGTAGTAAAGAATTCTGGTATCTGCTTGTTATCTCAACAAAGACTGAAAAGCAGTAATTATTTTAAATGCCTGATACTTGTAACAATTTTTAAAAGACAGGTGTACTTCATATAGTACATTAGTTCTGAATTGAAGTATGCTTGGATATTTACTTCATTATTCCATTTATTTTTCTAGTTCAGTGTTGTGGAAGCAACCATGAAACCAAACCAGCTGATGCCATTGTTAGTCAGTAACTTAGTATCTCTCTCAGAAATCAGGCTGCTTCATGCCTCTCTTTTTAAAAAAAAACAAAACCCAGTAATATCAAAAGAATGAAAGCGATGCAAGATGCGTGTTTTAGAATTTTATGGGGAAAATGACTAAATGAAACTTGGGAAAATGTTTGTACCCATATGTTTAACATAAATGTTAAAGTAAAAGGAGTTGTTTGTCTTGAACAACACATCTCCAAGTACACAGAAACTGTAAGAGCCAGCTTCTTAAAAAAACCCCAAAAAACCCAACCAAACCCAAAAACCACCCCACCCCCCAAAACAGCCACCCTTCTTCCCCCAGCCAGGAGCTTATCCTTTAACTTCCAATGTACCAGGAAACATACAAGTCCTTATACCAATATCTGCAAGGAGAACTGCCCCTTAAAACGTTTAGTAAAAGACAGGGTCTTCTGACTTACTCTATGAGAGGTGCTCCATAAAGAACAATAATCGCATGAAACAGTATGCAAGACATGAAAAAGTATATACAGCATTTTAGAAATCTGGATATCTAAAAAAGAGCAATAAAATATCAGAATAATGTTTCAAAATAAAAGAGAACATAAGTAACATACCTAGTCTATACCTTATCAATAGCTTTGTACTCTACCTATTTCTTTAATTTCAGCTACAGCACAGTATGACAATAGCATGACATATTTCAAAACAGTTTTCCCTCTGTTTAATGTTTTAAATGATTAATTGAAATGGATCACATCCATCTAAAATTTTTTCATGCATCCTATAATAATAATGCAAACATACAAAAAATATAACTGGAAATGACGAGATAAACAGAGATAATTTTATTGGATATTTTTACATTTCTGTTTTACATCTGAGTGTTACGTCCATTCATTAAAAGGCATCTTTCACAGAAAGTGAAAAAAAATATAAAATCAAGAAAGTATGTAATAGGAAAAAAAAGACATTTAGAATCAAACGTAATACTTAAAATTACATGAATAAAAAAACCACCATATTTTGAACTTGGCATCTTAAATTCTAAATCCATTTGAGAAATGTCCATGACTTTCCACAAATCTGCAAAACACATATAATTTTCTATGAATTTAAGCAACAGTTTCTGGGCACTCACTACATCACACAGAAGCAGAGCTACTTGATAAACAGTTCTGGTTAGGTCTGTTCTGATCAGGTCACCAAGGGAAATCCGTAATTTCACTTGAGCACTTTTCCTGTTTTTTTTCATATTTATTTCTTATGGTAGGCTGGGATGAAATGTCACCTAGAACACAAAGCCTGCTTCATACTTAAATTACAGATGGTTAAAATACTTGTTTTCCATAATGATTTAGTGTATTTCACATCCCTCTCAGTCAGCAAAACTAGACAGAAGCTTTGCATAGAAAGATACCGCTTTCAGGGACGTTTGGTTAAACGTTTAAGAATCAGCACATCAGAGCACTAAATCTGGTCTGACTCAGCAAGCTGGGAGCGTAAGACTATCCACCCGACTTCAAAATGCTGGTGTACTCCCCCGCTCCTGAACAAGTTGTGTGCTGCTCCAAATCCGCTCCGTCAAACCTGTTTCATTTGAATTCATTCATACCTTTCATGCTCCCGTTACAAACTGTAACTACAAAAATTTATCCCAGATTTACATTTGTCTGTACACAAATTTCATCATTCAAGGAAATGTAGCCATTTTAGTACTTTTCCACATCATCTTTAAAAATTTACCAACTTTGTTCAAATCGTAATGATCTGGTCTCTGTTTTATGTTTCAAATTCTAAAAGCTATTTATCTTCCTCTAAAGTTATTAGAAACTTGTAACTACACGTAAGAAAAGCGTTTCTTCACAACGCTGAAGATCAGGCCTGGGCCAGGAAACGAGTTCTGCACCCATTTAATTTTGCCACCACGCAACCTGTCAGAAGATCAACGGCTGGGATCACAAACAACATAGTGACAAGAAAAAGGAAAGGCACAGAATCGCTCACCTGAACAGGTGATTTACAGGTAAAGAAAGTTTAACATGGCAAAAATATCGAGGAACTTATTTCAAAAGGTGCTACACTCGGCTCCTTCGTGGGAAACAAGGATTCACCACCAAAAATTGTTCTTTCTTTCTTTCTTTCTTTCTTTCTTTCCTTCTTTCTTTCTTTCTTTCTTTCTTTCCTTTCTTTCCTTTCTTTCCTTTCTCTCTTTCTCATTTGATTATTTCAGTGACAGAATCCCCCCCCCCGCCGTATCGCCTGGTAGCAACGTTAAGAATAAAAATCTTACCTTGTGAGCAAAGGAACTTCTCTTGGGAGACAGGTTTGGTTTCAGGACCAAGTGCAAGCCAATGTTAAGGGCACTAACAGAAAGGGAACAAACACAGAGCCAGGCGAGGTGTGTTGCCAGCACGGTGAATCCGTCCCAGAAGAAAGGCGGAACGACGGCGCTGAGGACAACCGAACAGAGGCGGAGGAGGTTGGCGGCCCAGAGCCTCCCTATCTCCGCTTCTCTCATCGCGCGCCTTCCCTGCCAACCGCCCACCTGCAAGACACCGAGTCGCACCCGTCACGGACACGCAGCGGCAGCACCACCGGGGAACGGTTTTTGCCCCGGCCGCAACACTCAAGGCAGAGCTCGGAAGGTAGTTTAGGGGTGAAAGTGATTATTTTGGGGGTTCGAAGAACGTAATTCGTTTAAAAACCAGCCCCAAGCCCCCGGCAGCACCGCGCTCTGCGAGCCGGCCCTCAGCCGCGCGCC